TTTCCCCGCGGCGGCTGCGCGTGCGCTGGAGTTACCCCCCCTCCTGGGACCCCCCGCTTCTATTGGCTGCGCTTCCAGGTGCGCTACCGCCCTGAGCCAACCCCGACCTTCACCCAGGTGAGCCCAGGTGCCATGGGGTGATGGAGGGGTGGGTTATGTCAACCTGCCCCATGTGTGTCCTCCTCCCCCCCCCCAAAAAAAAGGTGGACCAGGTGACGCGGCTGTGGTTGGACATCGGCGATGCCTGGCGGGGCACCCGGCACGTGGTGCAGGTGAGGGCGCAGGAGGAGTTTGGGCACGGAGCGTGGAGCGAATGGAGCCGGGAGGCGGTGGGCACCCCCTGGACAGGTAATGGGGGGTGGGAGGGTGGGATCACGGCCTCACCCCCCCCCCCCCCCCCCGCCAAGTGTGGGGCTGTGCGGGTGTCCCCTGTGTCACACCAACCCCCCCCCCCCCCCCCCACCTCGCCTTGCAGAGCCCCGCGATGTCACCGAGGTGGGACCTTACAGCTCGCAGGTAGGGATGGTGTCACCGTGTCTCTGTGTGGGGCTGCCCCATAGAAACCCCCCCGCCCCCAAAATCCCCACTGTGCCCCCACCTGTGTCCCCTGCAGTTCCCTGCTGAGGACGATCCCTACGGCTATGGGGCCACGCTGCCACCCGAGCTCTTTGGTGATGACACCACTGATGATGCCGGGGGTAAGGATGGGGCTGGGGGCTCCATGGGGAGGCTGGGACCTCCCCCCCCCCCCCCCAACCTCATTACTGACCCCCACCCCACCCTGTGCTGCAGGGGCTGTGCTGGAGGCTGCTGCCCACTCCCCCACGTCCCCCTACGCCCTCCTGGTGGCGGGGGGCAGCCTGCTGCTGGCCATCGCCCCTCTGCTTCGCCATAGGGATGAGGTGAGTGCCGGGGGGGGGGGGGGGGCATGGAGGGGGTGGGGGGGCACACCATTCCATTCTGACCGAGCCCCCCCCACCTCCTGCAGGTACAAGCAGAGAGCACAGGCGCAGCGGGGGGTGAAGGTGGGGGGTGGCAGCCAGCACCCAATGGTTCCCCTTTGCCCCCCCGTCTCCCCGCTGAGCGCCGCCCCCCTGCTGCCGCCTGCCGCCCCCCCCCGGGCCTCTTCATGTCACCAATTTGGATTATTTCCTCTCAGGAAAGTAACTTGGGGGGGGGGGGGGAAGGGGGGGTGGAGAGTGGTGCTGGCAGCTCTCCCACCCTCAGTCTGAGGCCTGGCTCAGGGTGCGCCCCCCTGCCACCCCATGCCCTCCTCCCCTGCACTGGGGGCATCAACATCCCTATGGGGATCCAGCCCGGGGGGGGGGGGGGACCCTTACTGGGCCCCCGGGGGGGGGGCAGCTCCAGGGCCACAGCCAAGCTGGAAGCACTGGAGCGTGAGAACGGGGTCGGATTCGGTTCAGAGTGGCCAGAGAGGAGGGGCTGAGCCCCCACTTAATGCCACAGAGGATGGGGGGGGGGGGTCAGAGGGTCCGGCTGGATCGGCCCTGTCCCGCTGCACCGCAGAGGGGATTTGGTTGTGCTGGGGGGGGGGGGTGCAGCTGGGAGACCCCTCCCAATAAAGGTGGTGTGATTTTAAGAGAGCGGCTCCTGCCTTGGGTTGGGGGGTGGGAATGGGAGGGGGGGGGGGGTCAGTACTCCTTTCCTGTGTACCCCCCCCTTTCCCCTGTGCCATAGCCCCCTAGGGTGCCATAGACACCCCCCCATGCCATGCACCCCTTCCTGTGCCATAGACCCCCCCCCCCCAAGTGGCATAACTCCCCAGTGTGCCATAGCACCCACCCCATGCCATGCACCCCTTCCTGTGCCATAGACCCCTCCCCATGCCATGCACCCCTTCCTGGGCCATAAACTCCCCCCCCCCCAAGTCTCATAACTTCCCAATGTGCCATAGACCCCCCCCCCCCCATGCCATGCACCCCTTCCTGTGCCATAGCCTCCCCCAAGTGCCATAGACCCCCTCCCCTGGCCATGCACCCCTCCCTGTGTTGTAGCCCCCCCCCTACCCCCCACAAGTGCCATAGCTCCCCAGTGTACCATAACCCCCCCCTACCATAGCCCCCATCATGCCCCATAGCCCCCCCCCCATGCCAAGCACTGTTACTCATTGCACTCCTTGCCAGGCCGTGCCCCAGTACCTTGCACTCCCCCTCCCCCCAAGCCATGCTGTGAGCCACACGCTGTGCCCTGCAGCTCGTGCCCCCTGTGCCCCCAGGGCCCCCAGCACATTCCCCCCCCCCCCCCCCCCCCCCCCCCCCCCCCCCATGTTAAGCAAATCCCCAGAGCTGCAGCTGTGCAGGAAACCGCAGGCTGAGGGCTGCACTGTTGGGTGCTGTGGGGATGCCACACTCCCCCCTGGCCCCATGCTATAAAAAACCCCACAGGATGCAGATGTGTGCACGGGGGCAGCCCCAATCCCAACTCTCCCAATGGCACCCATGGGGGCCCTGTCCCCCCTTCCCCTTCCTCCCCCTGGGGCTGTTCTGCCCTCGTTCTCTTGTGCCCACACATGGGCCCCATCTGGGGCTGTACCCCATGGTTTCCCCCCCCCTTTCTCTCCCTCCACCCCCCTCCCCACCCGGAAACCTGTCCTGGTTTCACCTGCACCCAGAGCCTCTTGCTGAGCCCATCCTGCACGGCCTCGTGGCACCCCTGAGGTTCCCCAGCCACATCCCTGCCCCACTGCAGCCCCCATCCCATCCCCGGGGACTCCATCACCCCAATTCCCGTTCCAACAGCTGCATTCCAACCTCTCATGTCCCATCCCTACAACAGATCCACCCAACCCCATCCCTGCATCCCTTACTACCCCTTCCATCCCTGCATCCTTGGGGTTCCCAGCACCCCTGGCCCTGCTCCACTGTGGCTTCCCCATATCCTTGCTCCCCAACCCCATCTCTGCACCCTTTGCCCCTCCCCATCTCCCTCAATTCATCCGCAGGTCCACAGCACCCCAACCCCATCCCTGCCCCATTTTGCCCTCCCATCCCTATCCCCACCCCACTGTGGTCCTTCCAACCCCATCCCTGCACCCTCTGCCCCCACTCCATCATAATCCCCTGCATGCCAACCCATCCCCACCCCACTGTACCCCCATCCCACCCAACTCCATCCAATCCCATCCTATCCCACTCAATTCCGTCCCATATCAGTCAACTTCACCCCATCCCATCCCACTCAATCCCATCCCACCCCTCCATCCCATCCCATCCCATCCCATCCCATCCCATCCCATCCCATCCCATCCCATCCCATCCCATCCCACTCCTCTCAGCCAACATCTTTATTTCACACCTCCATCACAGCTCCCGACCTCAGCGCATCCCCCACCCCAAACCAGGAAGGGGGGGGACGCCATCCCCTATCTGTAGTAGTAGGTCCGGCAGCCGCTTTCACCCCATCAAATGGGGGGGACACACACCGTGGGACCCCCCCCGGGGGCAGTCCCAGCCCTTTAGTGCATCTTGCAGTGCACGGGGTGCAGCAGGGCCATGTGCTCGGCCCCTTTGAAGGGCAGCTTCTCGGTGGAGTAATAATGCACGACCTCGGGGACGCTGGCAAAGCCTCCGCTGGCCTGGCTCAGGGTGTATTTATGATCCTTGGTCTGTGCCACCAGGATGTGCACGCAGCCTTGGCTGGTCCTGCGGGATGAATGGGAGGGGGTCATGGAGGGGGGGAGGGGGGGGTGTTTGGGGGGCGGGGGGGGGGGGGGAACGGCTGCAGCCCCCCGATGGGTCCCACCCGGCGCTGCGGGGCCGCGTCCGCCCCTGTGTTTGTTCCAGTCCTGCTCTGATTGTTTCGGCTCCGGGGGCTCCGCTTCCTCAGGAAGGAAACGCCGCCAGCGCCGCCGACAATGAGGGTGGGAGGGGACGCTTTGCCCTCCCCCACTCCCCGGCACTGGGCAGCTCGGGGACGGCCGTGTCCCCCGGGTTGGGGGGGGAGGACAAGACGAGGGGTGCCGCTCCAGCTGAGCTATGCTCAGACAGCAGCGATTGCCACGGGGCGCCCACTGCCCTCCATGGGGGGGATCCTGCTGTGCTGGGACACCCCCCCCCCCCCGCCCCCAAATCCCAGTACTGGAGTTCCCATCCTTCATCCCAGTTCCACAATCGCTCCATCCCAAGGACCCCCTCCTCGGTACCAGGACTCCCCTCCCAGTACCAAGATCACCACACCCAATGCTGAGTCCCCCCCAGTGCCAGAAGCCCCAATCCAGTACCGACCCCCTCCCCATCCCAGTATCAGGACCAGCCCATCCCACTGCCAGAACCCCCTCTCCAGTATCAAGCCCCCCCCCATCCCACTACTGGGACCCCCAACCCAGTGTCAAGACCACCTCCATCTCATCTCAGTACCAACCCCCCCCCCACCTTGCCAAGATCCCCTCCATCCCAATATCAGGACCCCCACCACAATGTCAAGACCCCTTCCACCCCACCCCACCCCACCCTACCCCATCCCATCCCATCCCATCCCATCCCATCCCATCCCATCCCATCCCATCCCATCCCATCCCATCCCATCCCATCCCATCCCATTACCAATAACCACCCCTCTTGCCAAGATGCCCCCCCATCCCAGAACCAGGACCCCCACCCAAATGTCAAGACCCCCTCCATCCCACCCCACCCCACCCCACCCCACCCCATCCCATCCCATCCCATCCCATCCCATCCCATCCCATCCCATCCCATCCCATCCCATCCCCAATAAATAACCCCCCCCCGCCAAGATCCCCCCCATCTCAGTACCAGGACCCCCAACCCAACGTCAAGACCCCCTCCATCCCATCCCAATACCAGGACCCCCCCCCAGCGCCCCCCACTCACTTGAGAGCAATGGAGTACTTCCCACTGCCGCTCTCGCTGGTGCGCACCAGGTACCCGGCTTCCTTGCACGCCTGCAGCCGGCTCTCAGCCTCAGCACGTGTGATGGCCCCATGGTACCACCTGGGGAGGGGTCACAGAGGGGCTGTGAGATGCACCCAGACCCCCACCCCCCTATAACACCACCCCCCTGCTCAGCTGGTGACCCACGGCTGCTTCTCCAGCGACACGGCGGGGTCCACGCGCTCCCCCTCGCTCTGCTCCGATGGTTTCACCATGCGTGGGGTCCAACTCTTCTGGCGCAGGTGCTGCCGTGCTGCCTCCTCCCGGGGCCGCTCAGAGCCCTCGAACTGAACTGAAGAGTGGGGGGTGGATGGATGGATGGGTGGGGGGCAGGAGAGACCCCACTGCAGCCCTGGAGTCCCCTCCTCATCCATGGATGGATGGATGGATGGATGGACAGGGGGAGCTGAGCCTCCACTGTAGCCCTGCAGCCCCTTCCCATCTATGGATGGATGGATGGATGGATGGATGGATGGATGGATGGATGGATGGATGGATGGACTGGGGGAGGAGAGCCCTCACCGCAGCCCCAGAGCCCCCTCCCCATCTACAGATGGATGGATGGATGAATAGAGGGGAGCTGAGCCCCCTCCGCAGCCCTGCAGTTCCTTCACCATTCATGGATGGATGGATGGGGGGAGCTGAGCCCCCACTTCAGCCCCACAGCCCCCTCCCTATCCATGGATGGATGGATGGATGGGGAGGAGCTGAGCCCCCACCGCAGCCCTGCAGCCCCCTCCCCACCCCAGCTCTTACCCGACAGCGCCTTCACAATCTGCTCCTTCTTCCATTCCCAGGGCTGCTCGTACTCAGCTGCCGGACGCTCATCAGCCCCAGGTTCATAGGGGGTGTCGTAGAGCTGCGGCCCCCTCCCCACCGTCTCGCTGCCCCCCCCGACCTTCTTGGCCACCTCCGCTTTGCCCCCAGCCTCATCCAGCAGCAGGAGGGCTTTCACCAGGGGGTCCTTGGAGCCACGGCGGCGAACCTCTGTGGGAACAGAGGGTGTTGGGTTGGGGAGGGGGCCTCACCTCCCCCCCCTCCCCTCTCATTGACACCCCATGACCCGTAACGCGTGGGGCCGGGAGGGGCAGGAAGGCGCCCATCCCCGCGGCGCCCGGTCGCCGTCCCGCTGGCGCTGGCGCCGAGATCCCGGAGGAAGTGGGGCTGCAGGATGCTACACCCCACACCCCCACCCCGGGACACCCTCTGCGCTCTGTCCCCCCCCCCCCTCCCCCCACCCCAAATACCCCCTCTGCCCAAATAGCCCCACCTCCACCCCATTTGGCCCCACGGCTGCCCCGCACGGAAAAAAGCCATCAGCAGCAAATCCTTTATTCCCTGCTTCCGGCCGACTCAGTTCCTGTTATTCTGTCCGGCTGCGGCCCCCTGGGTGGAGTGGGGGGCAAAGCCTGGGGGTGGGGGGACACCGAGCCACGGGGTCCCCATGGGGCGTGGTGACAACGGGACCCCTCAAGGCATGGCACTGCGCTGCATCCTGGCCCTGAGTGCTGCCGGTGGCACCGGGCTTTGTGCCGTGGGGCAGCGGCGTGGCACACACCTTATCACGGGGAGCAGTGCAGGAAATGGGAGAGCAGCTTTCCTGTTCCCAAAGCTCCGCGCCGGGTGGGTCCCCGGCTGACGGCTCCACGGTGCTGCATGCTGCCAGCGGTGCAGCACGGCATGGGATGGG